TGTTGTTGATGTTTCCTACTGATAAGCCTATAGGTATAATTAAGAAATAATTGATTATAAGTATATTTTATGTTTGTATAATGTCTAAAGATAATTTTTATTTCATTATCAAAAAAGTATACATACTTACACATATTTGTTCCTATATATATATTTTTTTTATGTTATCAAATTTGACTTATTAAGCTTTTTTTTTTTGCTTAAATGTTAGTAGTATAAATAAGATTCATCTGTTCGTTGGGCCTACCAGTTACTATTTTTTGGTTTGCTTATTTATATATGTAAATATAAGTACCTGATTACCTTCTTATAATAGTAGATTAGAATGAGGTGTTGAACCTTGAATATTTCGAATTTCATATTAATAATGGCTTAATTTAACAATAAATTGTAGTCCATTATGTGGACAGTTCAACGTCCTCTTGGCTATAATTGACCAGAATTGTTTGTTCTGTTTTCTGATTACGTTTCGTCAAATAATTTTTAGGTATTCATAAGGTATTCTTATTACGTTATTTTTATTTTATTTCATTTCACTTTTTTTTTTTACATTGGGTGTGCCTTGCAATTCGTATTGCTTCTTATAATACTTTGTTTAAATTTCAACTATGAAAATTTATGCTTTGGATAGACAACGGTATTGCATTATCGTTTCACCTTTCATGTTTAGTTTGAATAGAAAGAGACGGAAAAAAACGGATTTTGATTTAATTTAAAGACATATAATACTTTCAGTGGTTTATTTCATTTAGTAACTATTGAATGAATCTTTTCAAAAAACTCATATTCCATGTTGATTCTTATAATCTCAAAATGTGATGTATATAGTCATATTTCTTTGATATAAGAACCATTGCTTCAAAAGTTCTAATAATTTATTTCTATAAATAAGCAAACTTCATAACTTCTATCATTTATCTTAGTAATATAAGTAATAACACATATATTTCTGAATAGTCTTTGGGCTAATCAGATGTAAAAATGTAAATTTCTCCAAGAATGTTTCCAGATAATTTTGGACTTTACAGATTAATATGTTACTAAAATCTGTTCATTTCAAACTTTATTCATTATAAAATATCAAATAAATGCGATAAAAAAAGGATTTATAATTGAGAAATATAATTTAGATAATAATTGTTGCAGCAAATTAAATGTACAATAACAATTGTTATCAAAACAATATTTAATTTTTTTAAGTTATTGAATTAATCTGCGTGCATTATTTTAATGCTAATTATTAATGTTTTTATAACTAAATCAGATAAAACTATTCCACTATTGACCATTTTGCTCATTCATTTTACCGTTCGTTAATTTTCTGTTTTCTTTGATAATTGCCGAAATATCACTTAGTGATTTTACATTTTCAAATGGAATTATTATGAATGTAAAAATCTTTCAATTTCTTTCTTTTTGTCAAAAGACTTGCAATTATAAATCATTGCAGTAATTCTTTAGGATTTGATTTGGACAGGACCAAACAATTTAATGACATATTAATATTTCGGAGGAAATTTATTCATTTTAAAATTGGAACTTAATTTTTGGCAATAAATTATAATCTTTTTGGTGGGAATAATTAATCAATTTTTAGATTTGGATTAATTTAAAGATTGCAGCTTTTGAAGTGTTAAATAAATGAAAATAAAATGAATCAAGAAAAATTTTTTTTGCAAGTTTTCTTAAAACTTTATCATTTCTTAATTAAAAAATTTTGCTAGTACTGCTTGCAAATGTTTCAAATGAAACAGTTATTGTAGTATCTCAAAAAAAAAAAATCGGTTTAATAATCTAGTCTTGTCTTTTTTTTCAAAAAAAAGACAAATAGGCATTAAGAAATATTCGAGACTTGAAGCTTTTTCTCATATTTATTCACTTATAATTTTCAGCATTGGTATAATTTAATTTTTAGCAAAAAATTTTATTTTCAAATAAATAAATTGAACGAAAAAAAAAATCAATTCTTCCTTCATTATCATTAAATTAATACAAGTCAAGGTCATCGTGGCAAATTTTTTCGTTTATTCACAAATGTTTGCGGTTTGGCCATTTTTTTCTCTCTCTCTTTTCTTTTCTTTCTTTTTTTTCTATTGTGCCAAAATTTGCCATTATAATGTCACCAAGTAATCACCCATTAATTTATCATTTCTCTTTCTAGACACAAACATGTGGAGAAATTTTCATCTTTGCAATGATTTGAGACGAATTAATTGACATATATTTTGCTAATTTAATCAAGACAAAAAAGTAAATAATAAATAAGTAATTATGATAATGTGATATTTTAGTTATTTAAATGCATATGGATATGTTATTTAATATTACTTAAATATTAGATAATAAAAAAATGTTTAAAGATGATAAATAATTTAACAAATAATCCAATTAGTATCATTTTTCTTTCTTCGTTTTTTCCTCTGTTTTTTGTTCTTTCTTATTTAAATTTTTTAGCATTAAATACAGCATATGAATTGATGATTTTTTTGTTGTTGTTTTTATTAACTACTATTAATTATAAATATAAATACCAAATCAACAGTTATTTATATAATATGAAAAAAAAAAAATATATGAAATTTTTTTCATAGAATACTCTGTGTAAAAAAATTTTTTTTGAACTAATTAAAGTAATTTTTTGTATTTTTAATGCAATTAAAAATATTCAACAAAAAAAAATGAAATTCAGCAATATGTTATGAAAAAAATAAAATTTCCTTTGGGAATATAATTGATGTTTTCATTTCTTTTCCTACGCTTTATCAAGATTTATTCGTTCGATTTTTCTTAAAATTTCCTAAAATTTTTCATACTTTTTTTTGCGCTTTTTTAATGCTTTTAATCAATTTTCAATTCAAATAATAATGCAATTTTTTTGCTTAACCAATTCGATAATTTTAATTATTTTAGCTAAATTTTTGTTCCAATTACTTTTATCATATTCGTGTTGATTACTTCAGTTGCATTCTTTTCTTTCTTCCTCTTTTTTAAAAATTTAATTTGCTTCGATCACTTTGATTTCGTTTTATTTCTAATTATTCTCATTGAATATCGACTGTTCTTCTATTTTTGCTTCCAAGCTAAAATTTTTAAAAAGTTATTTGCAGCAAAGAAAAATTGTAAATAACGATTCTTTCCTAACAATCTATTGAAATGAAATGCACACCTGATAATCTTTGTAACAGTGAGATAATAAAATAATATTTGGTAGTTATGACCTAATTCTTTCTTCAAATCTTACCATAAAATTTATAGTTTCGTACTATTAGAATTTTATTAAGTATTTGAAGCAAATTGATTATTTCAGATAAACATCAATTATATGAATAAAGATAATTACATACACTAATTTCAATTTAAGTTTTAATCATATATCATTTGATTGCTTATTAATTTTCATTTTGGAAATTTACTAATTTTAAATTTAAACATGTAATATTTGATAATGAATGTAACAATCGAAAAAAAAGCGCAAAGTGTTACTTGTCTTCTTCTGGTATTTCAAACAAACAAAAAAAAGAATTACTAAGAATGAAAATTTATAATAAATTAAAATTCTACAAATGAATATTTCATATATGCGCAAGTTGATATCATTTTTTAATTTAAACAAAAATCTTGAAAGTTTTTTTTCGATTAGAATTTTTTCTTTTAAATTTTTTAAATCTTTTAAAAAGATTGATTTTATTGCAATTATAAATGCAATTAAAAGTTGTATTAATCTCATTTTTGTTAGAGTTAAAAATTTTAAATTAAACTTTTTCTTTATTTTGATTTTGACATATTTTGATTTTAAAATTGTTGACCTTTTTTGGTTCCACTTTTATACCACAAATAAATGAACGATCTTTTTTCCTTTCAAATGTATTTCATTCACTTTCAATCCCACAAATGCTATTAATTTCAGCACTTTCTTTAAATTCTTTATTTAAATGTAACCAATTTATACACTACCATTATTCAAACTGTTGCCTACTTCTATACATTATTTTTTGTTAATACCAGATTTTAATGATTTCACATCTTAATACAATTGATTTAGTAGTTAAATAACCATTCACTTACCTTATTTAATTAATTAAATGTGGATGAATAATTATCTATTTTTAACGTAAATAGTTGAAATAACAAAAATGCATCTGCAAACTAATTTTATAGAAAGTAAGCTTATAATTGCTCAACTTATACATATATAATAAGTTCATTTATCAAAGTGCTACATTATGAGATTTCCTTTTAAATTAGTTTTTGACCATTTATTTTTTCTCTTAATAAATTCCATCACAACTGGGGAAATTGTATAAAGAAAGAAAGGTATGACTAAATCAATTTTTCAAAGTGCTTTTGCTAAATAATTTCATTTGTGTTTTTTATTTTCCTTGTTTTTACTTATTCTATTTAATGTTTTTTCTTCGATGATAATGGAACGAAATTAATCGATGCATATTTTATTATTGGTTATTTGACAAAAAATTTTTTCAATTGCAAATTTTTATTAATAATGAAAAAACAATGAAAAAAATTATTATAAAAATTAGAAAAATTATTTGAAAATATATCATTCTGCTTGAAATGATTTGATGAAAATGTTCTTTAATAATTAGCGTTCTTTAATAATAATTAGTGTAAAATTTAAAATTTAAACAATATTTTGAAGAAAAATTAGCAAAAAAAAAATTTTACATAAATTTTAAAAAGGTTCGAACAATAACAAAACACTCATATCTTTTTCATTATTGTTATGATGATTATAAAAATATCGTTGTGATGATCATTTTTATATCAGAAAAATATAAATGTTGAACTTATTAGAAATATAATTATTTTCTAGATTGCCGTATGAAGAAAGCTTTGTTACTGAGGAAGAATCCATTGAAAAATAATTCAAAACGTTATCGACTGATTCTCAAAACATATTGTTGAATGTGATCAATTAAAGCTTAAATTAACTTAGAAAGCTAATTATACAAAATTATAGGAAAGAATATATGGTGTTTATAATGAAAGAGTATTGTGATAGCGATGAATTGGCATTTTATTTAGATATGGCAATGAATGAATCCCAGCGATGGCTTGAAGTGTTACTATCATTCCTTATTTATTTTCAAAAAATTGAAAGTTTTAAGTTTTCCTCGTTTTGCTATGTTTCTTTTCTTTTTAGGTAACTTGTCGAGAACTCTTCATTGATAGCGACGATTTTATTTATTCATTACGCTATGGAACTCATTTACGCAAGTAACTTTTTCAGTTGACATGTGTGCAATTATGCTTTCTTGCATGAAGCAATCAACATAAATTTGAATTTTTGAAACGATTAATTAGCTTATTTAGCAAAATTAGGTTTGATTAATTAATTGGTCAAGGTGTATCGTTTACACATATTTAAATCAGAATAAAATTATAGTAAATGATCATTAACATACTACAGAATGATTGTATGCTGTGATTACTGCATCATAGAGAGTGGCATCTATATAATATTGCTTACGTTTAAATAAGTATGCAGTTGTCAGTGTATTATAAAATACATTGTATGCTGTGATTATAACATTGTAGGATGACACCATTCCTAGTAAACAGTTAGTTATGTTTTATATCAAATAAATCAGTTATTCACGTATCGTAGAATAAACTTGTTTACCGTATACAATCGTTCGCATACTGTAAAATCACTCACAGTATGCACTCTTTATAACTATATCCGATTATATTTTACGATAGATAAATGCAGCGAATATATTTTAATGAATAATAACGGTATTTTCAGAATAATAAATAAAATAATACCTGGCTGTTTTGATTTATCTCGTAATCGTCATGGAAAAACCACTCAAACAACGCGTCAAATACTTACAAAAGCAAATGTACCGTATAATGAAGTTAAGAATTACATCGATGATGAAGTATATATTATTTAACTAAATATTTCTTTCGTTTTCTTTTTTTTTTTTTTTTTTTGTTCTCTCTTTATAATAAGATAATTTGTAAAACTTAAGTATATAGCTTGTATTGTATAGTTTATCTTCATCACTACAAAATTTAGAAATTATATTTATAGGATTGGATATTGCAGTTTTTGTTAATTTGTCTCTATCGATTACATATTCCACAGCACTTACTTTTTTTACGTGAAGATTTGGAACAATATGAAGGATTTGAAAAACCGTACAAAGTATTCATCAAAAAGCAGTATGTTTACATTTACTTCAAAATGCAAAAATTAGTACTTAAAAATTGAAAATTTACATAGAAAGATGAATATGCATTTTTACATAGCAAGTGATATTTCTTATCAATATATTAATATTATCATTGTGTTAGCTTGTTTTATATCATCGTAAAGTTAATAAAAAAGTAGCTGATTTTATCGGATTATAAGCAATAAGATTCTTTTTTTTTGGATAATATGATATTTTTGAGGTTAAAAATTGATGTAGCAAAAAAAAAAAAAAAAAAAAAGTGAATTTTACCAACATTACGATGCCTTTTTAACATTGAATAAATCATGAGAACAAATTGTTTGATTTTCTTCTTTCTTTATCTTTTTTCCTTCTTTTTTTATCTAAATAATGCAGTCTATCCTTTTTTGCATTTTTTAGTTATTAATATTTGATAATTTACAATAACAGAAATAATTTAATTTTTAAAGTTACTAATTGTTGATAAAGATTGTATTAAATATATGACTCCTTTAGTCAGACAACTTACTTTTATTTAGAGAAAAGAATCTAATATTGTGCTATAAAGAAAAGAAAATAATATTGTATTACATCAACAAATATTCATTTTTTTATCATTTGTATCACATATTCAATCAGTTTTTTTTTGAATGATTTTATAATAGACTATTAAAATACGATAAATGATAAAATATGATAAGTATTATAACAAAAGTCTGCTAATTAAGAAGGTTACATCAGAAAGCTGCTTTTTCTCTTTTTGTTTTTTAACTATTTATATTTCCAAATTAATTATTATTTTAATATAAATGATAAGTAAATCATATCAAATAAGTAATAAGTGCAATTAATAACAAGAAATTTATGTATGAATTTTAATTCAAATGTGATTAATTTTACATGTTAAAACTTGAAGTGTAAGTTAAAAATGAAATGACAAAGAGGAAAAGATGGGAAGAAAATTACAGTTGTACACATCTTTATTAATAATATTAAGGAAAGATCAAATATATGACTGCTATTTCGATAAAAATTAATACTATTAAATGTAATTTCAATGTAAATAAAACTTTCTGTAAATGAAGGCGAAGAGGCGAAGTGTAAGTAATAAAATTGTTAAAAAGGCACTTTATGGGACTATGATATGTATCTGACTTGACATGAATTTGTGATAACGTATCGTATAGTATGCACGAAGTTCTATAATGAAATAGTCATCATTTTTATCGTTTTTGTTTTATTAAATTTAATAATATATTGTTTTTATTGGAATTTATTTATTATGGTAACAAAGATGAAGCTTTAAAATATCAATTTCAGTCATTTTTTTTTTTTTTTGGATTTTATTATTTATACTTGCTCCGTAAACAATGATTCCTTATTGTCTGCTCTCAGTTTCACCTATTCTTTTAAAATTTGGTTTAATTATATTTTTATAAAGACTATAAACTGAGAAGTATGAGGCCATGATAAGATATATTTATGAAATTAACTTGATATGAAGCATATTCTTGTTTTATACAGTAACAACAATATCATCATAGTCTTCCTTTAAACTAGCGAATAAATTCAATGATATACTTTTTTTTAAATTGCTAATCTAACCATTTTTCAAAACGCACATAATTATATTTAATAAAATCATTTTTCATTAAATAACATTACTAATAAAATTAGCTAATCAAGATGGAACTGTGTGATTTGATGGTAAATGATTGTATGCGCTATTTTGTACAATAAAACTATTTAGATTAGGAAAAACGAAACAGATGAAATTCTAAATTTTAATCTCTATGGTATTCATCAAATCTAATCTTATCAATAACAACTGTATTATCAATCGTTCATTTCCTAATATTTATCATAGATAAATAAATTAGTTAATAATAGATTGAAAGAGAGAAATTGATGATAGTATGACCGACATTTTTGATATGTTCAAAGTTATGTATTACATGCAAGACAGATGAATCTTATACATACCAAATGATATATATATGTATACGAAGTGGTCAATGATCAGTGAGAGATATTAATATAGATAGATGGATGGATGAATATATGGTATGTATCTGTTTTGAAATTATTTTCTGTTACTACTGGTATTACATCATCATGATCATAATCATCGTTATCGTCATCACTATCATCAGCATGTCATCATTGTCATCATCATCACAATCTTCGTCATTAACCCGTGAAAGGACAATGATTCCTTCTTCTGAACTATATTATGATTTTAACCAACAATACTACTTCACTACATCCCGTCAATGACCAAATCATCACACGTGGCATCTTTAATTCAATTCTATTACCAAACCTATCAATTCCTCTTTCTTCTCTTTCATCTTTTTGTTCACTCTTCCTACTTTTCACTCTTCACTTCTTCTCTCTGTTATCTTCCTCAATTTTTAACATATCAATTTAAATGCATTTCAATTGCATTCAATAACAAACTTCAATTATTATTTTAATAAATTCTTGTTTATTGAAGATTTTCTTAGTCTCATTTTTAATTCTTTTATTACTTTAATTTCAAATTTAACGTCTTATTTTATTTCTATCAGTTATAATTGAAATATTTTTATTTCCAATTGTATGCGTTTGTTTTTAATATGTTTTTATTACTGCTATTTTAATCAATGCCATATATTCTAAATTATAAAATTTGGATTATTATCAAAATTCTTAATTGAATATTTAGTTATTCTGTAATGCTTAATTTTATTAAGCATTACCTGATTTGCTAAATATGAAATTATCTAAAGTATCTTACTGCTTGATTATTTTATGCTGGAAATATTTTTTTTAATTTGTTTTGAAATTTTCTAGCTACATTTATAATCAGTATAATTTAAAAACTTCATTAACAAATTATTTTCCAAAATGATGTAGGTTTTCATTAATTTGGGTATCATTTTTTCAATTTTTAAAATTTTTTGCTACTGTTTGAAATTTCGGAAATTAAGGAATTTTCCACTTCACCTAATTTCGAATTTTTTTTTTATTGTTTCCGTTTCTTTAAAACAATAATTTACCATTTCACCTTTTACTCCACCTCTTTCATCGTTTTCATTTTTTCTTTCTTTGCAATTATTACTGATATTTTTTTTCATTTATTTCCTTTGAAATTTCATTTTATAACTTACCCCACTCACCCATTGTTCATTTTAAATGATAGAAAAATTGACTTTAACATTTGAATAATAAAGAAAAGGTCAAAGGTGCTTACCTTATGAAATATTACCGCCACTCTTTATTTATATTCATTAGAAATAAAATCATCACTTTTTCAAAATCTCAGTTATTATGCAAAATAGTTAGCTTAATGATTTATTATTCTTTTTTATTGTTTATACAGTTAACTTTTATTTTCTAGTTTTTTTAAAAATAATACTGGATTCTTTGATATTTCAAACACTTTTTTTTTGTTTGTTTGTTTTTGTTTTATTGTTACTTCGAGTAATTTGCTTGATAATTTTTGTTCTAAACTTTTGGAAATTTCATTTAATTTCAAAATAAACAAAGTAATGGATTAAAAAAGAAATATATTAAAGGAATCTACTAAATTTCTAATATTTTGTTGTAAATTATGAATTTCATTATTAACTAAATCTAATTTATATTTTAGTGAAAATTTTTTCTCCCATTACTTTTTGCTTCTTCATTCATATCCAATTATAATTTTATTAACTGTACTTTTCGATTTCTTAGAATTTATTCTTTAAATCAATTGTTTGAACTTAAATCCACTGATTTACAGGATTTACAAATTCTCTTGTTTTTTTCTTTGTTGCTTTCTTTCTAAGTTCAAATTGATTTTAGATGTTTGTTATTTTCTATGTTTAAATTGATGAATTATTTTTCAAAAACTTACTTTTACTTTTTTGCATAATGATCCGCTTTTGCTCTTTTCATTTTCATCCATTATGAGTATTCCATTTCGTATTTCATTCCAATTAGCACTTCCTCTCTTACTATAAATTCCATTTACTTTTTATTTATCTTTCTCAATTGGAAAAGTGAAGAATGTAATCCATTAACTTGAATTAGCTTAAATCGTTCTAATATTAAATCCCAAAAATACTTAATATCAAATCAAATTCATCCAGTTTTTTGTACTTTTTTAAATAATGTTTAAGATTTTAAATAGAATTATATCTAAAGTTGTATCTATAGAATTATATCTAAAGCAAAATTTTCATCCCAAAAAAATTTTTTAAAGTTAACTTTTATTTCTGAAAAATTTTTTAAAAATATTCAAGATCTTTTGTAAAACTTTTTAAGTTTAAAAAAGTTTGTTAGTTTTTGTAGTATACAAGAAAGATTATTAATATAATTGATTTTCTTTAAAACAAAAAAGAAAAAATAAAAAATGTGAATATTGGCAGAAAAAAATTTTTCTTGATTTTCAAGATATTTTAAGCCAAATTTTCCTTTTCATCTTGTTTTTTGTCTTTTCACTTCCATTAATTTGCATTAATTTCATTTAATAAAAAATTTAACCTAAGCATAATAATTATCTCCAAAGTAAAAATATTAACATAGCAATGACGATATTACACTAAAATTATACTATTATGTCAAATTTCATTTTAAAACCAACTTTTCTTACTTTCAGCTTCTACAAGTAATAAAATACAATGCAATTCATAAAATAAATTGTGTTGTTAATAAATTTCTGACGAGTTTATTTATTAACAACTTTCAATGAATTATTAATATGATAATTTGCTAATAATATGACCAATCTTTTGATATATTCATCATATAATCCAATAAAATCCAGTAGATATATAATTAATAAAAATTTTACTTAGCAATGTAATTGAAATTTCTTCGAACTATATGATAGTTAAAGTATTTATCATAACTTAATTTGATATATAAGTTTTAAATTTTACATATGTAAAAGAAGAAATTTCTTCCAAATAAATGTTAGCAATATAGTTGTGAATTTTTTTTTTATTTATTCCTTATTATATCAAACAGGTTTTTACCGCAATTGTAGAGCGATTAACGAGAAAAGCGGTAAATACCAGTGCCATTAGATGTTGTCATTCTATCGTTATTATTTATATATCTACCGGTTATTGTCATTATTTATGAATGAATGAATGAGAGGAGAAAATAGAGAAAAAAATTTAATCAAAATGAAAAAAAAAAGGTAATTGGATGTAATTAAGCTTATCAATGATTCAAAAAAACAGTAAACATTGATTTTCGCATGGAAATATACTATTTTTAACAATTCAATTTAATTAGACCTATTCATATCATATCTAAACACATTTCTTTTTTCTTTATTTTAAATTTATAATTCATGAATTTTCTTATTTTATTAAAAAATATTTGTTTATTTATTTCATATATTTCAATTTGACTTTATTCATAATATATGCTTTATCTCTTTGTAACTGCACTATCAAATATTTCGTTTTTTTGTTTTTGTCTAATATGCTTTTTTTCTTTTCTCTTTTTATGGAATTCGTTCCTTCTTTTTATTTTTCACTAAATTCTCTAGCACAAAAATTAAGCCATTTCAAAAATAGATTTTAATTTGTTTTTGTTGAAATTATTGTCAATAAAAATTATGATAATTTATATCGTTGATTTGTTTATAGGTACGATTATCTACTGTAGAAACAAAAAAAAAAGTTTTCAATTTTTGAAATTCAACTATTTGCAGACTAACATCTACTACAGGAAAGTTTTCGAAATGCGAAAATTACAACAGCGTACGAATTCGAAGAGTATGTTTGAATAAGAGAATTTTTTTTTGTTTTCTTAATTATTCTCAATGATATTTAATTATATCAATTTTTTACATAAATTAGATTTCTTGTTAATGCTAAGAATATTTCAAATTTTTTCTCTACTCATCATTTCTCTAAAATCAAACTAATTCCAGTGTTTTTTTTTTTTTGCTTTTGAAAAAATGATATCAGAGATTTGTTCAATATTTTAAATTCTTCAAGGAATTTTATAAATTTAATAAATATTTTCAAAAAAAAAAAAAGTTAAAAAACCATCTAAATTGTAATACCAGCTTTTTATTTCATACCAATGATGTCAAAAAAATTTTTTTTAATTTATCTGAAAAGATGAATATTTCTTTTTTATTTATCAAAAAACACATTTGAATGAAATGATAAAATTATATTTATATTTACAAATCTATCATTCAATTTCAGTTTTGTGCTACAATTTTGGCACTATTTAATGCATGCAATAGCATTGTGCATGTGCCACAACTTGATTATACAGCCTTGGAACCATTAATTCAGTATCATTTATCCGTTTGCCGAAAACATCCAAATCCTTCACTGCAAGCAATTCTTAGTCGACCAAATTTTGATTTAGTTTATATTGTTTCATCACTTGTTGAACAAGTTAGGTAAATATTTAATTAATTTTTTTTTTATTTTATTAATGATTACATTTGTTGAGATTACATATTTTTCCTTTTCATAATACATAATAAAATAAAATTGATAGTAATATCATAATCATCTCTTTTGATTTAAATTTGATTTTTTATTAATTAATTAGTTAAAATATTGCATATATCACAAATAATTGATCATTCAAAACGATCTTTTATTTATATAAGCACATGAATGATATTATAACGATTTGCTATTCATTCCGATCATGCGGTCATATAAGAATTGATTGTATGCTAAAGAAAGTTATATAACTAATCAAATTTTAAAGTAGAACTATTACTTATATGCTTGGAGCAAAAATTCATAGATCATTTTATATACTTGTTTGATTAAACGATAAAAGCCGTATGCTTATATATTGCTTATCCTAATGTTTAACATTTTAAAATCAAATTTTTATAGCTAATATTACAATGTTTACGAATTATATTCAAGTAAGATGAAGGAACAAACGGACAATTAGTGAGACACAAACATTGTTACGTAAGCTTAGTTTGGCTAACGTTAGTATATTTTATGAAACATCTTCAAGTAAATCTAAATTTGGCATCTTCAAGTAGATCCAAATTTGGAAATTAAAATTAATCTATTAAGTTTGGAACAATAATTATCATCTAGGCTTATTTTGTCTAACCTTAGTATATTTTATAAAGTCTGACAGCAATAGTTGCTATTTAGGTTATTTTATAAAGGTATAAGAATTGTTATAGCTATATGATTTATCAATTCTTATATCAGTTTGCTTTGCTACTTATTATTTTGCTTATTACTCATAATAATTTGATTTTAGCACAATATACATAAGTAGTACTTTTAGTTTTTGATTTCTTAGATAAAAAAATTTAGAAAAAAAAAAATAAGATGAATAAATAAATATTATTGTAATGTAGAAACATTCGACTTCTTTTTTCTTTTTTTTTAAAAAAAATGTAAAAAAAGTTTTCAAAAAAAGAACAAAAATGTTTGTGGGAGATTTTTTTTTTATTATTGTTATTTTTTTTCTTTTAATTGTGCATTTATGCTATTTATCATACAACAAATTATCGTCTTAAGTATTGTTGCAGCAGTTTCAACGATGAAATTTCTAATCGTACACAATTGAATACAACAAGCAGTAGTGACGAGGTTTATTCGTTTCTCTTCCTTTTCTCTTTTTTAAAAAAAAATTTATCGATTTTGAAATTTTATTCATTATTTGATTAGATTGTGTATTATATTTGAGGCTGAAACTTTTGATTATAATATCTTAGAATAAAATACCAATTTATAATTAATATTATTAAACTATAATCATATATTAAATTTTTTTCATGTGTATTATTTTAAATCTTAACTTTTTAAAATATATTTCGTTAATTTACAACATTTTAATTTACGAATAATAATTTCACACTAATAAATATGAAAAAACTGCTGTTTAACATCAAGTACTATGTATATTTTACTTAGCCTTTCTATGAAAGAATGGATTGTAAAATAAATTAGTACTTTTACATATCTCTTTTAAATCAAAAAAAAAAAAAAGAAGAAAAAAAAGCATAATAATTAATTATATTTGGTTAGATCCAATCAAAAACAATATGATATGATTTATTACTGTAAAAGTCATTGTCTCAATGAATGAGAAATTTTCGAATTGTTAAATTTAAATTAAATTTTTATTAGCATGTTAACACTAAGACTACTTTTTTAATTTATCCTTTTATTTATTATATATTATAATAGTAATTTAAATGCCTTTAAAAAATTTCTTTATTTCTCGTTTTTATTGGTAGAATAAAATAATGAATTTTATCGAAATTAAATTATTCATTGGTAAATTCATATCGGAAATCTGTTTCATTTTTTTTCTTTTCTTCTTAAAATATGACTCATTTATTTTGTTAAATTTTTCACTGTAATGCAGCATAAGACATGCTAATGTTTACTTTCTTCATGCTAATGTTTACTTCGATATTTCCTTTTCCTCCTTTTTTCTTAAAAAAAAATCTTTAAGAAATATTCAAAAGAAAAAACGAATAAATAAAACATTAACTGATGTGATAAATTTAAAAGTATAATAATCTTACTTTCATTAGTTCTAAATGCTTTCATATCATTTTATAATCGTACATCAGACGATCGTACTAATTATCATGTTCTAAAATAATACTAATTACATGTGCTTACCACTATAATTATCCCCCTTTTATAATATATAAAGTTCATCTTGGAATTAATTATGATGAAGTCATTATTTTTTTTTCGTTGTATAACTAATTGTATGAGTTAATAATATTCTTACAGTATTTCATATTGATTACTTAAATAATTGATGATTTATTTATTCATTTATAATTAGACCAGTTTTTTTACTCAGTAATTAATATTTTATCATAGTAGATATTTTTTTATTATAGTAGATAAATATTTTATTATATAGTACAAAATTATAGTAGATGCTCTTTTCTCCATAAATATAAACTTAATATTTCTATTTCTTTTATAAATTAGAATTTATAAATTCTTTACTTGTATACTCAATATTCCTTTTTTTTTTTTTTCATAGAAATTTGTGGAAATCATTCAATTTTTTTGTGTAAAATTTACCATTTGTTATATAAATATGCATGCATTTACTTTTGCACTCACATATTGCTTCTACAAACTTTAACTGTTTCTAGAGAATTCAAGATTTACACCTGAATATATATCGAATTATTCTTCTTTAACTAAATAATATAATTTTATGGCACTAATTATTATATAATGCATAATTCATTTGATTAATTAGCAGTTTAAAAATGACTTATTGAACTACTGAAAGGCTTTTAAAATGATATTCAAAAATAGTTCGTTTGTTAATTTTTGCTTGAATAAATTAATGAAGTGTGAATGTTTTTAATTATGAATTCTTAGCCTTCTTTTTGCTTGTTTTTCTTTGTTTTTTTTTTTTTTTTTTTTTTTTTTTTTTTTTTAAATTATTTTATTAGCTAATCAAATTAACATAGTTCAAAAAATATTTGTAATAATTTTTTTTTTCTTTTTTGGAAAAATTTTAGTTTTAGGGAGTGGTCACAACAATGGATTATAATTATACAGTAAAAAAGTATTTGGCCGACTTAAATAGTGAATATTCTGCTGAAGAACTGAGCAGGTTCAAATTTCAACTTTGTTTATTTCTTATCATTTATTTACCTATTATAAATAGCATTAGCTAGTAAATACTTTATTTTAAATTTATATTTAATAATTTTAACTTATTAAATGATGAAAATTTCCATACAGTTTTAACTTATTGTAGGATGAAAAATCAATTTCATTTTCCTTTCTCAGATATATTTCTTTTTACTTTTCATAAATAAAAAAGCTAATGATTTGGCTTAAAATTTTTGATTAATTTTTATTTTTTAAAATTCCGAATAAATTTCTATTACTCTGATTATTTGTACCTTGCAGTTATTCGACCGGAACAAACGGTAGCCGTAGCGGTCCATCATACAATAGTGAACACAATACAGAAAGTAGTGAACGATTGATTCCGACTAGACAACAACTTAAGCTTACTTCACAGGTATGATTCCATTCCATTATTTATAATTAAAATCAGGTAAATTTTTTTATAATTTCATTAAACAAATTCATTATTTCATCTCATAATCCAATAAATTTTAATGAACTTCGAACTTTTGATTAAAATTTTCACTTTTAATAGAATGCTTTGGAAATTTTAATTTTATTCAAATTGAAATTTAAAAAAAAAAGATAAAATTTTATTAATTGTGATTTTTTATTATTTTGAGAGTCAAGTTATAGTAAACAAATAGTACTTTCTAATTTAAAATTTTAGATTTAGTCTTAAAAGCACAATAAAAATCTTTAAGTTTCATTTAATCCGTTTAGTACGGTTTTTTCTGATGTGCATAAAGCAGTTTTAGTAATTAAAAAATTATTTTAAAAAATATGTTAAAGTTACCAGATTATAAGAGTGAAACAAATTTAAATTGTTAGTTTTTTGTTCAATTTATGTCTGACAAGAAATAATGAACAAGAAAGGAATACTTGCATGTAATTTTATTGTTTGCAATAATGAATTATTTGATTTTTTGTGATTTAAATAAAGAAAAGTTGTAAAACTTGAAAGTAATGAGTAAAATGATCTTCTGACTACCTTTTTTCAATTTTAATAATAATTTTTTGGTACATTTGTTAGATAATCTCCAGCTTTTTGTTATTTTAATAGCAGTTTTTTTTTTTTTTTCATACATCTCACAATTTTTTTTTTCTTTTTTTTTTGTGAAATATTAATTTATAATTTACAGGAAGTAATTATTATAGTAAAACACAATTTACCACTTATTTTTTAATTTATTAATGGAAATTATTAATTATTATAAATTTTAACTTTTATCAGCAGCAAATTTTTAAACAAAAAATTAGAAATCAGGAATAAGTTATTAAAATTGTTCAATATTTATTATATTATAAACCTTTGCATGAATTTAACGTCAATTCAGTGATATAGGTAGTTCTTTTTCATCACAATTATTTCTACATCTTCAATTTACACGTCAATATTTTAATAAATTTTTAAATTTAATTTTAGTAAATTCCAGTTTCCAGTCAGAAAAATCATTATTTCATTATTAAACAAACATTTCTAACAAATCAATTTTGTTAAATATAGAAAATAAACAAAAATAAAATCTATGCAATATACCTCGCTAATATTAATCGTAAATTTTATTGTTAATATGAATTACATTTCTCATTTACAGGTAGCACATAATCCTTTACAATTTGTTACCGCACAATCAGGCGCAACTGCATTATGCGAACAAGCTAAACAACAACTTATCATATCTGATCAACAGAAAAGGATACGTGATGAAGCTCGCAAAAATATGGTACATTAAATTCATACTTAAATTTATTTTCTAATATTTTCAATTCATCAAAATATAAGCAGTAAATTTGGATTTGAATACATTGAATTCTTGTTCCAGCTTTATCAACTTTTCATTTTAATTTTTTTGTTAGCTTTTTGAATTCATCGGTGCTACGTATATATATGTATATAACATTTTTAGTAAAATTTAGTTTTCTATTTAAGGGAAAGAATTTAGAAAAATTTAGATATTGCTAAAATAATTTGGAATTTTTTTAATAATTTCAGTGTAATGATGATGAGGATGAGACAGGATGGCAATCAAATTTAGATTCCTGGTTATCAAAACGAAAGACAGCTATATTAAGATGGAAAGATGAAAGTATTTCTAAAAGGTTTCTGTCTCTTTAATTTTTTTTTTAAATTTAAGGATTAAAATATTTAAAAAGACGAAAAAATTCTTTTCTAAACAAATAGCGAACGAATGAATATCATTAATTATCATTGGCAGATTATCTTAGATAGATAAGAGACAGCAATATGTATAAATCTATTTGTGTCATATAGTGTTTTTAGAATTTTTCATCATAATAAAAATCAAAATAATTGTTGTTGCATGAAATTTATCATGCATAGTTTTTAGCTTGTGCTAATTTGAAAATTATCAATTGCTGATTAGAAAATCTGAAATTAATAAAATATTTTTGGAAGAAAGTTTAGTGACAAAAAACGAGAAGATATTATTGAAAGTAAAATAATTCAACAAAATCAACAACAGAAAGAAAAAGAGAAACAACATCGACAACATTCAACAAATGATAATATCAATGATTCAAAAAAGGTTAATAAGTTTTTCAAAAAAAAGAAATAATTCTAAGAAATGATTTTTTTAAATATAGTTTAATTTAAATACACTTCTAACTATGAATTAATAGCATTTAATTTCTACCATTACATTGACACACAATCGATTTGTTTAACTTTACATTCATAAATTATTATATTGTATATAAATATATTAAAAACATACACATAAATGAATACATATGCAAATAGTAAACGTGTTTAAGTATTTTAACGTTTAAATCGCCTTTTTTTCTACGTTTAACTTTATGCTTAAAAAATTAACCTATATAAATATATTATATTGTACATTTTTTAATCTAAACTTTCACGGTTTTTTCTTTTCTCTTCTTCCGTTCCAATAATAATTTTTGATATTTTTCTTTTTTTTTTTTCTTATGATCTTTACATCTATTTGTATTCTTATTCTTACCTCTAAAAATGGTAGGTATTTTTAGTTAGAAATAAACGTCCACGTAAGATTAAATAGAAAAATAAAAAATGAAACGGAAGGAATGAAAATAAAACGAATTCTTTTCCAGTATGTTATATCATTAAATTGGCTATTGTTAATAAAATTCATAATTTATACCTATATGCATCATTTTGTTTCTTTCTTAAGTATTACTTGTCATTTGGAATTATTTTAATGGTTTTAATATACTTTTACTAAATAAAATTTCCCAATATGTCTTTTAAATTCATTTGGGCTTTTTTTTTGTGTGCATATTAAATTATTCAAGAACTAATAAACATATCAAACTTATCGCTTGTTTGTTACACGAATTGTTCGTGTAGTGGGTGACGTATTTTACGTTCGTGCGTCAGAAATTTTATGATTAAAAATAATGAACGAGTATTTTACGTTCTTTCCATAATAGTTAGTATATAGTATTCGTTTTGTAAATGATACACTTTAGAAACAATCTAGTATACGATTAAAATAAAGAAATATGATTAATGACTCTTATCAATCTCATAGGAAAAAATTTTCAACTTTAAATTCCTAAGCATTATATACTAATTTTCTAACATTAAAATTAGCAACGTTTAAATGATTCGGCATGTTTAAATTTGTCTAAATTTTATAATTTTTTTTTTTTTTTAAATTTTATAAACAAACAAGTTAAATCATTTATATGATTTTATAAAATAAAAATGAATTCATAAATATCAATTCTTTTTCCTCTTTTTTTTTCTAAAATTTATTTGCAAATACATACGCATTAGTTATTAAAAAATTCATGTACCAAAGCTGACAAAAAAAAGAAAAATAGATTATCTTTCCTTAAAAATAATCTGATTATTAATTAATACTGATATCATATATCTCTATAATTCGTTTATCTTTTCTTATCACTGAATTGTCCTCTTTAACCGCTCTATCTTCTTCTACGTAAATGATGTAATAAAATGATTGAATGAAAACTTTTCCTCAACTTTACACTTTAAATTTTCTTTCTTGTTTCATTAATTAGCATTGTGATAATTGATAAGAGAATTAATTGAATGTTAAGAAGAGAAAATTTTTCATTTTAATGCAGAATAAAAGTACTTACTGAAAGTATGAGAGATAATCAATTTTTACAATTTGTCACATTTTGCTGCTATTTTAGAGAAAATTGACTAAATCTCGAGAGCATAATTCTCGAGTAGATTTCATTGGCTCAAGAAAGTTGTGGGGATAGATTATTGGAACAGAGGTGGTGAAGGATAGCGACGATACTATTGCTACTGTCCTCATTTCATTTTAATGTACTAATGACATTAACGAAAATAGCATCATCACAATACCATCAACAGACGTACATACATGCATACATACACACATACACATACATACATGCACTCACATACACGTAGACACACATGCATAGATATACATAAACATCAGTAACAACAATATTCATCGCCAATAAACCTATCGGTTGACATTTCTGTTTCAGTATTACTATAATCTGTCAGGTGGAAACACCGTTACTACTATTATAGAAAATTAATTTCCCGTTTAATACTTGAAATTTTTGCCTAACATTATTTTCTAAATACTAATTAATTTTCTATATTTTAAATCTATTTCGAAAAGTTTAACATTCTTTTTATCACAAAATCTTGTATTCCTTATGGTATTTACCCCTTTTTTGGGTCAGAGTTCATCAAATGACACCATTTTGCATCATGTACTCCAATACGATTTCTACAATTTCATTATTCAATGAAATGCAGCAGTTAACGTTTCTATCACTAATTTTTCGCTTTTCATCGGACACTTTCATTTTTACTTAAATAACATTTTTAATGAAATTTTCCTTCGTTTTTTTTTATTTATAAAATTTAATTTCTTCTTTGGAATTTACATATTAATAACAATAATAACAACAACAATAACAATAATAATAATAATAATAATAATAATGGCAATAATAATAATATGAAGAATGATAATAATAATAATAATAATAATATCAATAATGATAATAATAACAATAATGCTATTACAAAAGTTCAATTCAAGTAGACAAACTTTTTGCTATTGTTAAATTTTCTACTTCCTTTGTTGATAATTATTTAAAGTTGCCATTATTATTGTTATCATTACCACCATCTTTGTCTTTATCATTATCATCATGCCATCATCATCCTCATAATCATAAGAAGTATCCTTGAAAAATTAATCAAACGTCATTTGACTTTCAACATTGCATCAGTAAAATTTACAATAAATGGTTCATTGCATTAGAAAAAACCATTTAATATAGTGCTATCACTTAAAAGTTCATCTTGAGAGAAAAATAATGAAAGATATTTATTTGATATGACCTCTAGGTAGCACACAATAATGATAAATGTTAGAGACTGACAACGATCTTTTATCGGCATTCCTTAACCATTGGAAAGTTTTGTAATCACTGGCCTTAATTGATTGCGTTCCAAATTTTTAAATTCATTTGCTTGCAAATGAGTTAAGATGACATTATGAATCAAGATGGCAGTTCCATTTTTGAAAGAAAATTTTATGATTATTGGACAAAAATTGTTTATCTCAGCTAAATTATTTTATTTTCACTTTGCTTTTTTTCTTCCTTTTTTTTTAATTTTTTACTCTTTTTCCTGCTTTTAAAAAATTTTTTAATTATTATTGACTGAATTTAAAATTGAATTATTTGTAACTTTTTTAAATATACCTAACTTGCCTATGAATGGATAAAAACTTTTGATAACTAATTCAATAATTAACTCAATTTTTGCTAGTCCTCTTTACTATTCAAACAATAAAAAAGAAAGCAAAGGATTTAAAGGTCAGTTTGCCAATTTTCGGTATCATTAAAATTAGTAATTTACCAAAAATAGACCGTAATTGATTTTTTGGAAAATAGTAATGCATATATTGCTAAATTTGAAAAATCTTGAAAAATTACTACAACACTTAAGAATTCAATTTCTTCAGTTTCTAAGAACATTTCAAGAGGCTACGCCTGAGCCCGGTTAGCTCAGTCGGTAGAGCACCAGACTCTTAATCTGGCTGTCGCGGGTTCGAGCCCCGCATCGGGCTGCTGCAATTTTCCAATAGATCTGATTGTCGTTGGTAACCGTTTTCGTTTCTGTAACTTCCTAAAAAAGAAAATGAAAGTTACTCATAAGAATAAATAACATACAAAACTTTGTTGTCTAACTTTAAATTAATCTGATGTTAATGTAAATGATTTCATATTAACGCAGATAAATCTAATCATTAAGTAAAAAGAAAGGTAAAGAAATGATTAATTAAAATAGTTTTGTAGTTACTTGATAGCAATTTTTTTTATCATTATAAGACTTGTTTTTCTCTTTATTTCCTTTGCTCTAATACCTGGTTAATATTTTATCACATCGCATCTGTGTTTGTTTATTGTATAGTATATTCTTTTGCACTATTTACTTTACAATTTTGTCAAATTCGATTTGTCATTCAAAAAGGAAGCAGAAAATATAAGTAGAATATTTGCTTGAATATCAGACAAATAGATAACGTTTTTACAGAAAAGACAAAATATCAGGAAAAGAATATTGGATGATTAAATTATGGGAAAGATGAGAAATCCAGAACGAATAAGAAAAGATTATAAAGGAAATATGAAGGATCTCTGGGATCAACGAATTTAATCATTTTCTTTTAATAAAAATATTTAATCCAAGCATTAAATCCAAAAATAATGCATTGAACATTCAAAAATGGTAGTAATCTGGGAAAATTTATTGGTATATTAATCAATTCAGCTTTTAGAATTATTCAGTTCAATTAGTAAGTTAAACTTTACAAGTTTGTAACTGATTAAGCATTGCGAGTTAATTATCATATATAATTATGTATAGATGTAATGGGGAAAGAGAACGAATTGGAAAGATATAAATTAAAAAAAAAAAGCAAAATAAATATTTCTGTAACCAATTGAAAGTTATACGGTTTCAAAAAACAATTTTAAAATTTTATGCTCCAATTTCTTGTCTTTTTCTGTATAATTCGGTATAGTTCATTTCAAATGCAGGTGTTTTAGAAAATAAAAATGGAAATTAAAAAAGAGGATAAGGAAATTGTTTTTTTTAAAATAATTAGCTTTGATAGGACACTATATTCAACAAATATTGTTGCATAATTTTCTGTTCAGTTATAAAATCCTGATTTTCATTCTCAAAATATTAGGAGGAATAATGATGTCAAATTATATTATGAATCAAGAATATTTCAGTTATTACTATGGATCAGAGAAGTTTGAATTTAATTTCAAACTTTATATTCTTTACTAATATGTATTCAAGTCGAATAATAAGTGCATGGCTAAATTTCATTAATTAATTTATGGCTTTCTAAATAATATAAAATTTCGAACTTAACTATACATTTAATATCGAGCTTTTTTTAAAAAAAAATTTGTTAAATCACTGAGTGATATCGCCGAAAAAAATGTTAATTTTACGGAATTTTTATTATATTTGATGTATAATTCATTATATATGGAAATATAGCGTTTCATAAAGCAAATCATTAATTTAAAGTATTAATTATCAGTATATTAACAAAAGGGATATGATATAATGAATAATATTAACATAATGATACTAATATTGATTGTAATATTAAAACAGATAATAATAATTGTTATAATATTAATATAAAATAATGACAGTAAATAAATAAATAAATAATAGTAATAAATGGTCATAATAAAAGCTGTATCATTGAAGGAAATAAAACTACTGGAATGACAAATTTCATACCACAAACTGCGATTAGAATTTTTATTTCAACAGTATTCTTGCAGAATTTTGGTATTGAAATGATTTAATTTTCTATTCATTTCAGTATTTTTATTTCTCTTTTTATCATTTATTCGTTATCATTTAATTTGTAAATGCAATATAACAAAAATTATACATATAACTTTGCTTTTTGCTTCATTCAATAACAATGTTTCGTATTTATTGCTTAATTTACCTTTATTCATTACTTATTTATTAGTAGAGTACGTCGATTTAGGATGAATAGATAATTACTAGTCGACTTTTTTTTTATTATTAAACCTCAAATTACTGTTTTCTTCTTGTCTTATTTCTCTTCTTTTTTTTAAAGTATACTATTGTTGAGTTATCTATTAATTGATTTCTGCTTTTATCATTAATCTATTATTACTTGTGCAAAAAAATTCGTGCATCTACTTACTTTTATTAACATATTTATAATTCATATTCAAACCACAACCATAACTTTAATTTTGAATTGAAATTACGAAATTGTGAATTACATTTCAGTCATCAAAAATTGTTTTTTAATCATTTCGCTTTTAAACTTTATCTTTATTTGATGAATTTGATAAAATAATGATTTATTAAAAAAGAAGAAAAATGAGAAATGAAATGCTATTTGGCATTGAGTTTTATGTTACATGCTGTGTTGGTCGTCCAACTATGCAAATTTCTGCCTTTTATTCTACTATTCCATTAAACTGTTTTAAGATTAAAGATTGCATTTATATAAAAGACAATAATAAGAAATAAATTCTTTGACCAATTTATCTTTTTTGACATATGACAGTTGACATTAAATAAGATTTTTCTGCATTTTTTTTTACAAGTTTTAATATACGTTTTGAATAAAAATCATAGGTGAAAAGAAAGCAAATATTAATATAATTAATAATATAATAAATAGTGAAGGATGTAAATAAATTAAAAATTGTGAAGTATGATCTTATTGACAAAAGCATTAATGATTAAATGATATTTTAGTATAAATTAAAAGAAAAAAATGTATTTTAATTATAAATGTATTGTTGAAGAAGGTATGTGTAAATGTGATAATATCTCATATTTAATTATTTCACTATTCAAAATTTCTCCTTCAAATATCTGGCACGTAAAATTTAAAAAATTCTATAAATATTCATGAATTAACTATTTACCATAGTATATAGCTTTCGAATATTTTAAAATTTAAATCATTCAATTACTAAAGTTAAAAGTTAATTTGTTGCAGCAAAAGGAAGAGTGTTTAACGTCCAATTCATTACCATTAGAAGAACATCAGGAAGATTCTGGCATAGAGAATAATTGTCGAAGTAGCTCGATTGACGATCATTCACCTGTCGCATCAATTGATTTTTATCCGTCAAGTTAGTTGTTCATTTCTCTCTTAAATCATGTTTAAATTTGAATTAAAAGAAAAACAACGACTTTATATTTCTATTTATTATTGTAATAATGTTTTTTTTTCTTTGATATGAACGAAAGAAAGTCTTTGGCAATTTAGATATTCAATTGAGTTTTCACATTAGAAAAAAAAAGACAAAAACGAGAAATTTTAATTCTATCAAATTTTATGATCTGTTTAATGTGTGACTTGAAAAATATTGAGATAGCAAATGAATAAAACACGATTTTTTGGCCTAAATCTTACAAAATTTATGAGGTTTTGTTTTTGTTGTTTTTTTATTTTTATTTATTTAAAATGATATTATTATGAACCCAATTAACACGAGAAATTACGATTGGTGTAATCACATTAATGGAAAATTTCAATGATATATTTTATTCAGTGTTGAAAACTTTTTAATTTTAGTACAATTGTGTTTGGTAATATCTTAAATTTTGTTTTTGTTTTTCTTATGTTACAGTTGAATTAAATCATTCGGATACGAGGAATTCATTTACTTCATCATTATCATCATCACCACCAAATCGTCAACAGCATTGTTATCAGCATCTTGAATTATCATCACCATCAATCCTATCGCTTCCTGAAAAAAGCTTTATCCATTCGGTATTTGGTTATAATAAACTTGCTACAGAAGATAGTTATTTAACTCCTTCGACTAGCAAATTACTTCGTACAGATACAATCACAAAAGCTAACTTTCACGAATATGTAAGCAATTTTCCTTCTAAAAATCGTTATTTCTATATTAATCACTATTAATAATGTGCAAATTGCTATTTTTTTGGGACAACACTTATTTAATGGTAAATCTTGCTTTATCATATGCAATTATTATGAAAAATATATTTATTAACAATGATTTAATGATAGAATTCAAACAAAAGAAATAACAAAAAAAAAAAAAACAACAACAAAGTTTTAGGAAATTTTGAATTGTTGATTTGTTCTTAAAAATTAGATGACTCAAATAATGACAACTGCATTGTAATAAATTTACCAGAATTATTATTCTATCATTGATTAAGATAAGCTTCTGCTATCAGGTCATAATTTTAGTGAACGGAAAATTGTTTTTCTTTTTATTTTTCAGTCGGCAAATTTCACACCTTTACCTGTTTTATTTATTTTTAATAACACAATGGAAGCAGAAAAAAGAAAAACTGAGTAATTATGTTTGCATTAATTGCAAACTTGTTTATAAGTTCACCACCATTATATTAGTATCAAATGCCAATTAATGATAATCGATTTCATTTTTTTATCGTTCTCATCGTCTGTTATAAATTTTTTATGTAAAAAATGAAAACTTTTTATTTTAAATTTAATGCAAAAGAGAAACAAATATAGTAAGACTTACTTCCTCTCTTTTTTTTTTGTTCAATAATTCCTCTCTTTTCTGTTCGATTTAAAAAATGTTTTGAGATTAATTATTTTAATTTCTTAGCTCTTCACAATTTATTTTTTTTTTTTATAATAATTACTTATACATATATATATATATATATAAGACGATGTAAAATTTTTTTACTGTTAATTATTTTAGAAATTTAAGTGTTAGCAAAAGAATGGTAATCTCTTGCACTAATCTTTCATGTTAGTGATATTCCTAAGCTTAACAACTGAAGTAGATTTAATTGATAGCTATCGAAACTTAAGAGTTTTAACATCTGAAAATGTTATTTTATTAAAAATTGTTATATTAACTGTAAAATTATTCTTTTAGAATCAGCTACGTAGTATAACTCCACAAGCTGACAAATCCCAAGAATATCTTAGTGGTGAACATTCGGATTCAGATAGCGATTTTCCGGCACCACCTGATTATCTTTTACCGGCAACAATAGTAAGACAACAGCCAATAATATCAGCAAACAATTTATATGGTCGAAGTGAACACAGCAATATGGTTTGTTTTAATAAAAATTACTAATGGAAATGTATTCTATACAGACGTGTAAAGATGTTTTTCATTAAACTAATTTGTAATATATTAAAAAACTATAATTTTTCCAGAAAAACAATTCTTTATCAACTACAAAACACAATTCATTATCAACTGCAGCAACAGGAAAACGTAATACATCGGGAAGTGCAACAGAGGATGGTTAATAGACTTTTTCCTTTTAAATCATTAATTTAAGGATAAGTTGAGGAAAGAAGCACATCATTTCATAGCTAAGATTACATTTTAGCTTAAAATAAGTAGTGTTTTATTTTAATTATTAGTTTTTTTCTCACTAAAACTAGTGAGAGAAAATGTAAATATATTTTTGATATAGATATTCAGTGCACGTAATACATGGCAGAAGTGTTTGTACATTATAATGAATGCTAATTTAGACGTTGCTCTTTAAATATATCTGTTGTAAATGCATTTCGTTGTAATTAGTGGATTTTTCAGTTTCACTTGGTATCGAATTATGTCGTGAACAATCGGCGAATATTACAGCTGTGAAATTTCCGACACCTCGGCAAATTAATTCACCGTGTCACATTTATAATAAAGCAGTAATTGAAACGAGTGATGATAATGCTCAAAATGAAACTGATAATACTAATAAACCAAAACAAGTTTGCATTTCCACTTTTCTTTTTTTGCTATTTCCAACTTTTTTTCATATAGTTTATACTTATATTTGTTCGGTTTTTTATTCATTTGTTCATTCATTTATTATTATTGAATTTTTATCTTGTATTAAAGCTACTGAAATTCTGCAATTATTTCTTTATTTTACAACATTTATAGTCTTTTTGTCATTTGCATCATTTACAGGTTACATCACCATTTTTACCGTATACTTCAACAGCGTTATCAACAGTTCAAGCCAAAGGGCATCTTGTAGGAACCATCGATGGAATTTATCCACGTACATCGCCAAAATTTTCAAGAACTAGTCGTTTAACGAATGAAATTCATGAGGTAAGAAAAAAGGATGAAAAGAAAATGAAAAGCTACAGTACTTATATACGGTACGTTACCGTATTTATATGTTTTCTACAGTACGGTTGCATAATATTTGATCAAATTAGAAGTTTCTCATTATTAAAATGTTAAGAATTAACTATTCATATCTGTTCATTCATCACTCAGCTTTTACTGCTTATTTATGACACATCTGATTATTATTTGATTATGCTATTATTTTATCTTTTTTTTTTGTGCTCAAATTATGTTGCTGGACCAATTAATGCCACCTAATTATTTCTGAAATTGTTTAATATGAGCTTGCTTAATCAAATGGTTTTAATTACTGAGAATAACTTCAGAGAAGGCATTAAATAGCATAGCTCGATCATTTCCATGATTCGAGCAATAAAATAAAAGTAAGTACTTGTTTACTAGTGTTTGATAATTGAATTTTTTGCAGAGAATGAGGCATCAAAGTTAGTTCTAGCTACTATGCAATTTTTACAATAAACTTTTTCATGCATAAGTTTAAAATTATCATATAAAAGAAAAGGAAAAATGATTCATACTTGAAATCTATCCTTTCTTTCATTCAATCTCTTGTTAAGCAGTTTCATTTGAATCCAAAAATTATATCGCATTTTTTTGTCCATCATGCCAAAAAACTTTTCCTTTCCACTACTATTTTAGATTACATTACAATTGAGCTACTTCTAATAATTAATTTCTTTCAAATTTTCTCATGCATTAATACTACACACTGATTTTCACACTTTTCTTCTTTATACCACAAAAAACAAATTGAGATTAATTCAGAAGTATCATCGTGTTTTGCTATTTCATTAAATCTCTTTTCCTTTAAAAATATTCTTTTATTGCTTATACAATAAGAAATAAAACAACCGTTGTGCGTTTTTTTTTTTTCATTTCTATTCGTTACTTTTGTAGGGAACAGTTCCAAAATCACATCTGAAAACGGTTGATATTCAATTTGAAGACAAACCAGGTGCTGCTTATCAGCCAAGCAATATCGATAAGAATCATACGAAAATGGTTTTTAATTTGAACTTTTGGCCGAAATTTTAAAGAATTTAAATTTAACAAACCAATTTTGATACATCCATCATCAAATTTTTAATATTTATTTCGAAATAATAATAGAAATGGAACAAAATTTATATTTTACACATTTAGTGCAATTCAAAATTTTTAGAATTAAACCCGAAGTTTTAAACGAAAATTTTTAAAATAACAATTATTAAAAGGAATAATTGTTAATGACGAAAAAAACTGAAACTTTAAACTAATATTTTCGTCTCACCTCTAAATTTCCTAGAAACAAAATGGTACTGGTGAAATGATTAGTGTGAAGATCAGTTTGAGTAATGATAATGGAAATGATACAAGGAAATATTTTGGCTTTACAATTGCCGGTGGTAAAGATAAAAATGCACCTGTGAAAATTGATGCTGTTATTGTAGGAACACCTGCTGATGAAGCTGGATTACAGGTTTGTTCTTTTTTTTCGCAACTTATTATAACTTCTCCGATATATAAGCTTATTTATTCCAAAAGCTAAAATTAATCTACAATACTCAGTTTTCTAAAAAATTGGTAATTTTGATTGCTACGAAAGATATTTTTAGATACTTTGAATAATTTGAAATTCCATCCTTCCCAACCATAATTTATAGAATAATTAAATTAAATAACATAATTTATTGAATAAAGAAAAAGTTATATGAAATCTTTTGCAGGAAGATTATATAAATTATTTCATCTTTTAAAAATATAAAAAAAAAAATTCAATCTTCATTTCTAATCAAATGAAAATGTTTAAATTGATAGTCGAAAAAAGTGCTAAAATTAAATAAAGTGACATTCAGGTTGGTGATTTGTTATTAAGCATAAATGGTGAATCAGTACTGGATAGATATTACCAGTGTATCGTGAGGATGTTGCATGAAGCAGAACGTATTGGAACTATCGAATTAAAAATTCGACGATCTGATAATGCTGTAATTGGTACTGATTTCATGATATTTCATTTAGATTGCAAAAATTAAAAGTAAAATTATTCGTTTTGAAATAGGAAAACTGTTTCGGAAATTAAGTAAACAAATGATTTAATTTTTAATTTCCATAAAACATCTGCCCCTCATGAGCAATTCACTAATCATTAATGGAACTATTAATTAGCAAAAAAAAAAAAAAAAAAGAAAAGAGAAAAAATTGCTTGATTTGATTAGTAAATTATGAATCAAAGTATTAATTAATTTGTAATCGCATTCTTCATGTTAGTAAATTTTTGCTTAAAAGAATTAGCGATATTTCGAAACTAGAAATCAAAGAAACTAATCATATATCGCTGGTTGTAATTTTTTAATGAAGAATTAGCAATATTTTGAAATAAATTATTTTTTTAATTTTATTTGTTTTAGTTTATTTTTTACAAATTATTTGTATTATTATTTGTTTTATTTTTTATGTCCACGAATATCATCAGCTGAAAATCCTTCATCAGTCGATCAAAGATCAACAATTTCTTTTGATCAAAAACGAGCATTATTTGGTGATAAATGCACTACTAAAAATAGCAACTGCAAAGGAATTCGAAAGCAAAAACATTGTTCTCCAACACGTAAATGGTCAACCGGAAATATCAATAAACAACCAGAAAATGATAAATTTCCGACAGCTACAAGTAAATACTTAATATTCATACGAGAAAGTATTGAAAGAATCAGAGAATAGAATGAAGGTATTAGCTAAAAAAGAATTAAATTTCAAAAATCAAATTAAAAAAAACAGGAAAAACAGAAAAAAACACAACTAATTTTGCAATGAATTATTTTATTCATAAATTTGAGGCTTACATTTTTTCTGAACAATTTTAATAGTCATCTAAGTATTGATGTGGTATATGAATGAGCATAATTTTTGGATTAAAAACGAAATATCTGCAACAGACATTTAAATCTCGAGAGTTTTCTGATTTCGAGGAAATTGTACCAGAATTATTGTCATAAATATTTTCTTAATTTACTTTTGTTTTCCTTTCAGCTACTTCTACTACTGTTGCTCCTATTACACATAATGTGAAAGATGGAATTGTTATGCGTAGCAATTCAGTTTTGTCATCAATTTCAACTCTGGATGATGATGATTCACGAATGGCGTACTTAGGTGGAAAATATGCAATGCGACATTCACGTGAACGTTTTTCCAGTCGTACATCATTGGCTAGTAGTACATCATGCTCTATTACTGCTGGTGGAGGTGATCCAGATTATCGTGTCACATCATTGCATGATAAGCCAAAACCTGGTAAATTAGCTGATTTTATACCGGAAGTGGAACGGAAGACTGATGCCGGTTATAATCAGGATGATGGTGCTTCTGCTTATAGTTCCAGCTTCTCCAGACGAGGTCTAGATTTATCATAATTACCATATCGGAATGAATAATTTTCAAAACTTGGATGTTATAAGAAAAATGCTGATAATTCTGCAACAGATTTTTTCCATATTTCATGGGCTTTTTGCATATTTTTATGATCAGTGATCAGCTAATTAATTAACACATTTACTTTCTGCTTGTTTTCTTTCCACTGTCAAGTATCATCATTATTGCTGTTATTACTACTATTATTATTGTTATTATTATCATTATCACCATTGTTATTAATAATAATAAGCAACAATAATGACTAATAATAATAAATAAAAATTAATAATGATAATTTATTATTATCGCTAATACTATTGTTATACTATTTATCATTAATTATTCATAAACCAAACCGACGGTTGATTTGAATGGAAAAGAGTAATGATTAAGACAAATTAGGCAGATCTCTTTATTGTATTCTTTCACATTTATACATTTACTGAATGGTTGTATAAATTAAGTTCAACCAACATCATAAACGTAAATGACGAATAGCATATTTTAGAAAGCGATGTAGATGGTTTTACGAATTTGTTCACTAGTGAGGATGATGGTGAAGTACCACTTGTACTCCGTAATTATGATATAACTCCAGTTCGCAGTGTTACAACATCACCAATACAACATAAGGTAATCATCACTCATAGCATTATCATCATTCATTTTACTTTATCTGCAATAAATTGTATCTTCAAATTTAAACAAATTCGTCAGATAAAATAATGTTAATATCAAATATGCTTTTTTTTTTTTTTTTTTCATGCTATGTATTTCTTTTAATTATCAGTAATTTGCAACAAATTTTTTTATATTTTATAAATTTGTTGTTTCTTCTGTTTTATATGACTGACCAAGTCATCAGTTCATTAATCAACACATATCATATATTACTTTTTGTTTAGCAGTAATTCTACGACAATCATTTACTTATTCTAAAATTAATACATCTTTAAATTGACTAAGTTTCATTTTTATTCCGGCGCATTGTAAAATGCATTTTTAAATCATTTAAAATGTTTATTATAAATTGATCATAATTGAATAAGAAAAATCATACAATGTTATTTGCTATTCTTCTTAAATTTAATTTCATAAAAAAAAAAGTTTATTTTAGATAAGTTACTGGATGAAAAAAGATGAAATAAGAACGATGTCATTGCCAAGAAACATTGGTGGTGAATATCGACGAAATGGTTATGTGGTACCATGCAATCATTCATTTGCTACCAAATCAGCCATTCAGGTTAAATGTTTAAAGTAAAATTTTAAGTTTGAGTTTGATAAAAAGGAAAAGTTTTGCTTATTTTCACAATATTTTAATGATTTTTATAATGAAAACTATAATGAATATAAAATTTTAGAGGAATGAGATAATACCTGATGGCAATACAAATAGTAGTAGTGGACAGATGAAGACTTTGTCAACGGTATGTTTGCATAAATGGCAAACGCATAATTCAAAAAATAAATAAATAAATGAAATAAAATAAAAATAGTTAACTCTCGAAAGAAGAAAAACTGTAAAAAAATGTCTTTAAAAGTTTGTTTTATATTTAGTGAACTTTTATCATCATTGTTATTTTTTATTCTTTTATCACTTTTTTTGTCATTGTCACCAATTCAATATTAACATTCGAACAGATCGCTGAAATATTTGCAAAGTATTTTCGTATATTGAAGATGATATATATGTATGTTGATAATAGATATGATAAAACATGAAAATTTCTCATTTTTGCTAACGCTCCCACAAAAGTGCACAACTTTCACATTTGTTTTGCTAGTTCTCGTTTTTTTTTTTTTTTTTTTTTTTTTTTTTTGATTGTAGTTTAAAAATAATAAATGAAAGAGAAAAGTACTTCATTTAGTATACGACTTTATTTCCTCCATTTCATGAATATATATTTTTTAATAGTTTATAGTTTTTTTTTTTTCCCTCAACATATTCTAGGTGAAATACACATTAAAAAATATATTAAAATTTGTAAAAATAATATCAATTCATCCTTAATATTTTTCATTTCAGTTATAAAATGATATGTGTCCATTTTTTATTTTTTTTTTTTCTATTATCAATCATAATTAAATGTCAGTAATCGATATTTTTACTCATTTAGCATCGCAGCAAAACGATATTGCAATGTTTTAAAATAATAATATATTTCGATCATTCGTAAATTAGTAATTATTTTATGCATTTCTATATTACTGATTATATAATAATTTTTTATATGTACTGATTTGCATAAGCTTACTAAATATACATACATATATATTACACCTTAAAAATAAGTTTTATGCCGTAGTTGTTTAGAATGATTTTAACAAAAATTAATATTTCGACATTGATGTATTGATAAGTGCTATATATATCAGAACATTCAGGATTCCCGAGAATGGCGTCAAATTGTCGAGCAACAACGTTTACCAAGTCCTGGTGATCCGGAATGTCGTAATAAACTTGATGAAGATTTAAAGTTTCAAGTTAGTCCAAATAAAGGCACTGAAACTCATCATAGGCTAGTTTCAATTCTTTTTGAAATTTTTATATTAGAAAATTTTGTTTGTTCTTTTATTTTAAATTATTTTTTCAGACTAGAATTTCATTTCGATTTAATATTGTTTTAGCACCAAATTTGGCAGCAATTTAGTTTGTCCTTTTTTTTTTTCTTTATTTAGTTAATTTAAATTTTAGTTGGCTATTGTTATTTTTTCCTCATATTCAGATTTAAATTATTTTTAGTTCACGTCATGGGAGCAAAAAAATAGCCAGGAATTTATTATATGCAGAAGAGACAAGAATAAAGAAATCCGGTTCAGGTATCGAAAATGTTTTGTCCGCTGACCAATCGAAGAGATCATCCGAGAATAATCGATCTATAGAATCAGATTTAAACAGAGCTAATATGGTAAATACTTTTTATTTAATAAAATTAAAAGAATGAAATATTGAAATATTTCCTTGATCTATTTTAAAGAATTTAGCTTTATTCATTTAATAGATTCTAAATATGATTAGCTTATTTGTAGTCAATTTCAAACAGTTTTGTTTGAAATGTTGCAGTTATCAAAACCAAAATATTTAATTAAATAACTGAGGAAATTCACATTTATGATGATGTATATTCGAGGGAGATAGTCGAAAAAGTAATTATCATTAGAAGAACTAGATAAGTTAAGTTTGATTGTCACATAAAGATATTTCAACAATTAATTTTGTTTTCCTTTCTTGCTGCATAAGCTTCATTTCCAAATTAAATTATTAAATGCTTTTTAAATGTTCATCTAAGTATAAATTAAGTAATATCAGAATTGGTTACTAGATTAATAACATTAAAATCATATCATATGAATTAGCATTAAATTGATTACGTAGATAATCATTCGGAAACAATTACGATTTGTTTATGTTTACTGTTTTTTTTTTAGTCAGATGAGCCAAGCAGTCGTAAAATAAACAAAGTTTCATCAAATACAGATGAACCGTTATTATCAGTAAGTGGCAAACATCATTGCTCACATTGTAGTATGGAACTTGGCAAGTTTCATGATAATTTTATTGAATGATTAATTTAAATTTCACTTTATTTCACAAAACTTTGTGCTTAAAAAAACCTTTTTGCCATATTTGTTTTTACATAGAAATGCTTTATTTTAATAAAAATTTTCTCATCATTGAGGCTTTTTTCTAAATTCATCAAGTCTAACCTTTATGTTTTATTTGAAAAGAAAATTAATTTAATAACATTTTTTTCTTTGCCTAAAAAATCAACACTTTATATGCTTGTTATTAATATTGCATTTTGAAAATTTTTATAAATTAATTTTGTTTTCTTATTTTAACTTTTTTTTTCGTCAAAAAAATAGAAGAAAGTTTTACATAATTATTTTAGATGGCACAAAAATTATTTGTTTTTTGTGTGCGTTTTTTTTCTTCTGTACCTTATTGTTCTTTATTTCTTACATATTTTTTTTTTTTTTTTTGCAAAACTTATGCATATATTTTAGTAAACTGTAAACATGACGTACACTTCTAAATATGAAACTGCATTTGTGTCATCCATATATATATATAATACTATATGCTTCTTAAGCTTTGCATGCATTTTTGTTACTGTTTTGCAAAAAAAGGAACTTACCTGTCTGCATAAATGTTACTGCAAGGCTTGTTTATTTTTCATCTTTTGCTATTTGCATGATAAATATTTTAATTATAATTGTGTTGTATCTGTCTAAGCTAAACAAAAATATCGTTATTTTATACTAGCATAAGTTGAATCAAGCCAAATAATAATTGAATATTATTACTACTTTCACTTATAACTGATATTTATATGTATATTTCAATGATCATATAGTTAGAATAAATTAATTCATGCTAACATATTATTATTATTATTAATAACATCGATATTTTCGTAACAATATGATTAGGTTATTCATTTCAAATTTAGTTACTGTATTTTTTATTCTTATTATTATAAACATATGAAAGAAATATATATGTAATCATAGATTTACAATAATAATTTTGTAATAAAATGATGTTTTTTTTTTTTTTTTTAGAAAAACTTTATAATAGATATAAATATATGAAATGATTTATAAAATTTTAATCTTTTATAGGACGTGGTGCTGCAATGATTATCGAATCGCTAAATTTATTTTACCATTTGAGTTGCTTCCGATGTTATGTTTGTAAGATGACATTGGGAAATGGAACACGTGGTACCGATGTTCGGGTCCGTGATTCTAAGCTTCATTGTCAAAGTTGCTATAGCAGTGAGGAATCTGGTCTTAAGTTTAGTAAAGTATAAAAAGTTTAGAACCACTACATATTTCAACTTTTTTTTTCCTTTCTCATTTCATATGTCATAATTTTTAAATGTTGTTGTTGTGTTTAGCATTTTTAAAAAAATTAAGTGTTTCAAATGAAATTTTAAACTTTAGAAATGATACTGCAAAATTTTTGTGCAATTTGTTTTTTATTATTATAGAATATTTTATCAGTTATGTATTTGATGTGAGGCAATTCTTATTTTTTGATTAATATGGAGCGAATTTGACATTTGTCAATCTTTTTAAGAGAAAAATAATTATTATTAATATTGTTTGCTCATTAATATGTGCCCTATAATACTCGGATTTTTTCTCATTTTTTTTAATAATTCTAATTTTATACATTTGAAAGATGCTAAATTATTTGTGATGCTACTTATCATTATTTTTTCTGTGCATTCTACCTAATTATTAAATAGTTCTCATATTTGAATGTTGGAGCAAAAATGAAGAATGACGTAAAACAATAAAATAATAATACACCATTGTAACGTACTATTATTTCATTGCTTTGTTCATAACTTTCATTTAAATTAAAATTCAAAATTTTTTGTGTTTTAATCTGGCTTGCATCAAATATATTTTTTAAGTCACAATAGCTAGTTCTAATGTTTGTATGATGGAATGAAAATGATAAATAATTTTTATATTTCATTTATTTCTTTTTTTATAGTTTAAAAAAAAACAAACAAAATTGTTTGTTTTTTGTGTATTTTTTATTTTCTCCTTAAAATATTCCATAATTTTTATTAAATGTGTATTGTACCTTCTTTTAAACTATAAAAATAAATATTTCAATTTGATTAGATTCATTCCCTCTTTTCTGAAAATTCTTTTATGATATTTTGTAATACATAAAATCGTATTTTAATAAAACGATTTTTACTTCTGTACTGCATAAATTACACTCATCACAATCTTTTCGATATTATTTTTCTTTTTTTTCAAAGTTAAAATTTAAAGATTTTTTCATCTTTCTTATATGTTAGTAATGAAATTTCATTCACGTCATACGTAAAACTGGATTACTTAATTTACGTATAATTAAGGATTTTGTACTTTTATGCAGGAATCAGAGCATTGCAGATTGATTTTGTCGACGGAGATGAATTAATTAAATAAACTTATTAGAAACAATTTAAATTGACAATAACAGAAAGTTTAACGAGTAAGTGACTTAAATTCAAAATGTGCAACAAAATTTCTTCTTTTTTAAACGATCAATTAAAATACATCAAATTAATTTAAAATAATTTTTCAGCATACGAATAATTATTCATAATATTAGTTTCTTATAAAATACTTTGCTCAAAATCAATTCATCAAAAATCCGCATTATTGCTTTTTGAATACAACCTGATAATATGACCGATTACTTAATTAAGATTTGAAATTTTTTTCAGTAACAGAAAAAATAAATCACCGTAGTAATTTACATTTCATAAATATTGCTAAATTTGATTACTTAAACGTTTTTTTTTTTTTATTTTAACGACAACTATTTTCTAATTATTTTTATTTTAACAATGAAAATACTGAAGTGTTAGACTGAAAATAAGTATTAAGGTTAAGGATTTTTTAGGAATAAAATAAATTGTTTAAAAAGTGAGAATATATGGAAACACATTTTGTATGAAAAGACTAACTAGGTAGTAAAAAATAAAAGTAACTGAATCCAATCCATGCAAATATATTTATTTAAAAGAAAACATGTATAATTAAGTAACTGATTAAAAGTAATATATTAATCAGCCAATCATCTAATTATCCAGTTATTAAGTATTATTGTAAATAACAACAATTATATGATTTAAACGCAACAATTTTTGAAAACCGTTTTCAACCCCACTCATACTTATGAATGAAAATTTAATTGTTCTCACTATTTTAAGCTCCAATTCATTCCCATATTTATGTATTCATCCTATGCATCAGTTTTATTACAGATAAAAAAATTTTCTATAAATTAATTGGTGTATTAAAATGATAACTAATTATCAAATTTATTTACTGATTGATTATATTTTAATCTCTTCGATGTACTTTATAAAATTTAAATCAAAATGATACAATTTAATTACCTAATTTATTTGAATAGTTATATTTTAATTTCTTCAATGTTTTTCTTTTTTTTGTTTTTTTTTTTTTTTTTTTTTTTTTTTTTTTTTTTTTTACAATTTGAACTAAAAGATTAAATTGCTTGGTTTACTTTATTAAAACTAAATCCAACGGTAATGGATAAATTATTAGCTAATCAGATAGAGTGAATTTAATTTTTTTTTAAATTTTTTTATTCAGGATAACTTATTAAGGAAATTTTAGCCATCGAATTTTGAAAAAGATGTAATTTGAAAAGATGATGGATGAAAAAACTTATTCTGTTTATTCATGCAATGATGAATAAACCGAATATTTTTCAATCACTCGTCGAAAGTATACTGGTGGAAAATATTCGGTTTTTCACATTCGGTAAAAAAAAATTCCGCTTTTTTCACATTTGAAAAAAAAAAATTATTCAGTTCATTCATCACAGTATAATCATAAACTTGAAAAAAAATCAGATATGAGAACTTGTTGACCTCTTATAAAAGCAATAATTATATTCGTATTTACTCATATTATCCTTTCTTTTTATTCTGCCTTTTACTATTTTTTGAATTTTTTTTTTATTTTTTAAAAATTATACTTTTATAAGCTTATGGGTCTTATAGAATAACAAATTTTACGACTTTTTGATATGATCACAATTTTCTGTTAGTACCAAAATGTAATATTACATATTAATTTAAATTGAATAAATATCGCTTGATACTTTTTAAAGATTTAATATTACAGAACATACACATGGTATAATATAAACGAGATTTCATTGCTTAGATATGATATTGGCATTATCAATATTAATTATCAAGAATTTGTTACAAAATGAAAAGGATTTATTTCATTTGAATATCATTATGCATTTATAATTAATGAGATATCATTTTGTAATAAATTTGGTAAGCAAATTTTTCACAAATTATAAAAAATCACAAAACTATTTATAAGTTTAATTTGCAATTAATTATTCAACTAATTAGTGTTGCAATTTAATTGATCAATAGTATGATTTTATTAATTTCATTTGTTTGAATTTTTCTTATCAACTTTATTCATAACATTAATCATTTCCCATTTCCACGCCTTCTCTTTTTTTTCCGTTTTCCTTATCGTTTTACATTTTTTAGTGTTTCAACTTTATTTGTACCAACTACATCCATTATTCTTTTCATCTTTCATTATGCATAGTAGCATTAATTCATCTTTACTTCTTCATTTCGTTATATCCATCCAAATATCATCATTGTTATCATCACTATCATTATCATTATCGTTATCATTGCTGAAAACATTTATACTTGTCTATTCATTTAGATAAATCTGATATTACAGTTTAAAAAAAAAAAAAATCCAATAAACAATTGCAATATCCCTTCATTCGTTTTCGCTTTTGTAGTGATCCTTTGGTTAATCAACCAATTTATGCAATGCCATCATCAATTGTAAAGTACATTCATCAACAAAAAATATTGTTTTCATTTTCAATCTTATTTTAATTTCTTTTTTAATATAATATATATATATATATATCTTTATTGATCATAAATTAATTTAATTACTAAATTATTGCTACTAATCAATTATTTAATATTAAATGAAAAGGATTTGACTAATACTATGCTAATGATTATCTTTATATTTAGCAACGTCATGATACGTATATGTTTTATTCTGTTTTAATGCATTCCACTTATTCAATTCTTTTTTTTTTTCGCATCCGCAAGTAACGATAATGAGTAAACAATTTAGTAGGAATAGAAAGTAAATTAGGTTATTTTTAAAGGTATCAATTAAATTGGTGTTTATGGAATTAGTATTATTAGTTTTATTAAATCGAAAAAATAAATTAGTAACATTCAATAATGTATAATACTTTCTTTTTTTTTGGGATAAATCTCTTATGCTATGAGTAAACAACAAGTATTATCTATAAATAAATTAACTTTGTCCTTTAAAAGAATTATATAGTTATTCAATCAATGGATGATTTATAATAATTGAAATTTCATCTCTAAACTTGTATAATATTGCTTTGTTTCTTTTTTTCTTTCATTATTCTTATGAATTAATAATTTATGTTTATTTAAATATAATTCATTCTTTTTATGACTTACATTCAATAAATAAATAATTCTGTACCATATAAATGAAAATTTTTAAAAGTGAAAAGGAAGGAAATACGGTCTGAAAAAAAAAAAAAAAAAAAACAAATGCTATAATTACTGTTTATAACTACCGATTTCTATGTAAGCAAAAAATAATAAAAGCTATAATAAATAAACGTTTTAAATAGCTTTTCAACAATAATTCAAAAACGAGTTTATGATTATTCCTGTTGAAAAAAAAAAAAATCTTGTTTATAATTTTTTATAATTTCGAAAATCTATCTGTTTTTTTTCTATTTTTTTTTAATCGTAAATCACAGACATTTCTGTTTATATTATCCAACAATAATTTATATATGTATATATATACATGTAAATAATAAGCTTACAAGTTTCTAAAGTTAATATTTTAATGAAAATAGCAAATTGATACATTTTTAACATTAATTTTAGTTATTTTGATTTTTTCAATGTTAAAAACTCAATTTTTTTTTACAATTTCTTTTTTCTTTTCATTTACTATTAAAAAATTTGATTAGGTTGATAAATATATTATTCATAAAAAGAGATTTATATTTGAAGCAGTAAATTAAAATGATCAATTCAGTTCTAATAAGAACAAATTAGCAGTACAATTTATAAATAATAACTTTTCATAATTACATATGCTGTAATTATCGTCTTCAAATGTCTTAATATCACTATTTAATAAAATTTGCGCTAAATAATTACTCAACTTTTAAATATAATAGTCACTTTATTAAAAATTATTG